AAAGTTGACAGTGAGGCTTGGTACCTGGTTAAAACCGCAGTGTTTTGTAGATTTGCGACGTCCGGTTGGTAGTGGGCGCGCTTAGGTGATCCTCCGAAACGCATGCAAATCTTAGCACGAACCAATGCGTGATCAGAGTCCAGAAAAGTTGACCAGTACGATCGGCAGTCCATTACGCTTCCGCGCTTCATTGACAGATGTAAGGCAACTGAATCTACTGCACTCCAGTGCCCGGATCACGGTGGTTTACTCAAACTGGGATACAGCGTCCTGGCAACCGCTTCCCAGCCTTTATATTTCACATCAGCAACCTCCCTGTGATACTAGCTGGGTAGTTTGGGTTACTCTCGTTCTAACGGATGGTTGGTTCACAGTATTTCAGTACGTGCTGGGTTTATGTCTCTCTCTACAAAAGGTCACAGGTATCAAACAACACTGCGACGTGGTGGTTGTGACTCGCCACTAAATAAAGTCACTGCTAATTGCCTATTCACATGCTCATACTTCACGGACGCCATTCAACCAATACGAAGAATTTGTTACACCTCTTCTCAAGCAAATGACCCAACCGAACACAATCACAACTGCGGCGACACATTTGCAACTTCTGGCAACGCAGTTACAAACATTTATCCCCATATATATATATATATATATATATATATATATATATATATATATATATATATATATATATATATATATATATATATATATATATATATATATATATATGGCAGCATTCCATTCCGGCTTGGTCTGTCACTGCGGCCTCCGTAGAACAGCCACCGGACGCCTGCATCTACATAGGGACCATGGGCGGCTTGCGCTGCACCACCCACAGCTCCATCCTCACACCTCATATCCTCTGTAAATCCGAAGGAATAAAACCGGGTGGCATGCAGATTGGAGCCACGTTTCATCAACGGAGCCGACCCACACTCCTTCGCAGGCAAACATAACCACGCTGTATTTGGGAATCAAGCGCACACAAGGCGGTGCCTAGACCGTAGTCCGCGTCACACTGGATGGAACCACTTTTCGAGCTTAGCACGATCACAAGGACCGTGCACCTCGTCCCCTACATCAACGACCAACTGTCTCCTGGAGTCGGCATGGACGAGGTAATTGATAACAGGGAGGTAGGCACCTTGTCAACATTCACATCAAGCGCAGACACACCGGGGATGTTAAGCGACAGCCAATCACTTGCAATGACAATAACAAATAAAAATGGATCAAAAATACCATACGGATATGCCGACGTAACTCTTCACTAAATTGCCACATGAAATAAATTGGTTATCAACATATCCGCCATAAATGTAAGATGACAGAACAAGTAATCAAACCAACATGTAACAAGCGGAAAAGTTAAGGAAGTTAAGCACATTTTTTCTAGGCGGCATCTACGATAAAATAGCTTGTTCATGTAGACGATAAAATTAAGTAACAAAATAAGCATTAAGACACTATAGCAAATCCACCACCTGAAATAAAGAAAGAACGCAAGCACGCGGTTAATAAATCTAATAGAAGCGCATGCAGAGTACCGGCCAACGCAATACCGGTTCTCTCTACGTTCTCATCAGGACCCGTCGTCGTTTCTATGCTTGTCCTGGGTGGCTCTGCTCATGACTCACTAGGCCTCCTGACTCAGGCACCCGCGACCGCTTGTGCTACCACACCATGCGCTCGACGTCGATGGAGTACACCCCATCGGCACCTGTCGCTTCCGTACCTGACGCTACTTCTCCGCATGCTCGAAAGCTTTCTCCTGCACCTCGGAAACTGCCTTCGTGATCAGATCGCGCCATGCACGCCGATAAACCGCCTTCCATTCCCATGACCTGCAATCAAGATTAGAACGTGAGAGGCTCACTTTGATCATATCCTGGTAACGAAGCTTTGGTTTCCCCAGATGCCGCTTTCCAACACTCAGCTGACCACATAATAGCTGTTTCGGTATCCGCGTTGAATCCATACGGCTCACATGATCGAGCCACCTCAGATCTCTCAGCAAAAGTATGCAGTCCACTGCACGCATTCTACTTCGACGTAACACTTCCGTGTCCGCAACTCTGTCGCATCAACCGTTGCGCAGAATCCGTCGCAAACACTGTTAATGGAACCGCTTGAGTTATCGTACATCCCGCCGGTACATCGTCCACGTTTCGTTGCCGTATAGAAGAACGGAAAGCACCATGGATTTGTACACCATCAGCTTCTTGCCAACGGTAAGCTGATGGTTGTTCCACACTCGGTACTCTAGCCTTCCGAATACTGCCGCTGCCTTCGAGACGCGGATACGCAGCTCACTGTGTAGCTGCTGGTCAGTCGGCATGACACTCCTTAGTTAGCAGAAGCGGGAGGTGGTATTTAGTACTTCAGCACCAATGCTGATTTTCAGTAATGTTGAAGATTGCACCTCTGATGAAGGCTGAAAGGGGCAGACAGTTTTGCTTGTGTTGATGGTGAGCCCGAATTTTGCCGCTGTCGAAGCCAGAGCATTAGTCATGTGCTGCAACTCATCCGCGCTGTGTGCAAACAACGCACACTCGTCAGCAAACAGCAACATACGGATAGTTGTCTCACAGACTAGAGTTCTCGCACCGAAACGACGGATGTTCAGCAACCCACCATCAATGCGGTGCTCCATACCAACACCGTAAGCACAAGCGGCATCAAAAGCACAAGACATAATTGCATGAAGATAAATATTAGACAGCGCAGGAGCCAAGACACAGCCTTGCTTCACACTAGAGACAACTGCAAATTCATCCGAGGTCTCTGCACTCAGTTGCACTTTCACCCACGTACCAGTGTGAACTAGCGAACCTACTCGGACAACCAAATTTACCCAACAGTAGCCACAATGCCTCGCGGTTGACCGTATCAACTCAACAAATATCGTGTACAGTGATATCAAAACCTATGTGATGGATATATATAGAAATTGAGCCATCGGAAACCATGGAACTCAAAACAAGGTGCAGTAGTAGTAAAAGAAAACAACACATCAAAGTCCATGGTTTCGTCAGAGGGCGAGATACTACCCGGTTGCCCAAGCCGAAGTAAGGTGTTGACTTAGGTGACACCACCCCGAGGCTTTGGCTGGTTACCCTGTCCGCAAGTCAGCGGAGCGCATTCAGGGAATCGCGCCCATTGGGAGCCGGTGACTGATTGCTCAGTTCATACGCCTTTCGTTTGTTCCTTTGTCAAACAGGGGCGCAATGATCTCCAAAATTACAGCATAAACTTGCTGGAATACAATGCTTCGCCAGGATGAAGCAAGGAGCAGTGACTTTATTTAGTGACGAGTCACATCCGCCACGTCACTGTGTTGTTAAATGAACATGTGGCTTTTTATAGAGAGAACGCTTGCCAGGCGAAAATCCACCATCTCCTGGAACACTGCCGCCGAACTATTTACTGGAACGGGAAAATCCCGAACCACCCAGCTGGAACCACGAGGAGGTTGTTCGGCAAGCCAGCCGTTTATGTGATGGAACAGATTTTACAGCTAATCCAATTGTGGTGAGAGTAACATTGTGTGTTAAGATGATTGTTTGATACTCCGATAACGTGTAAGACACCTTTATGCTAATAAAAGATAAGAATTCGCATCCCCCAAGCCTCTATTGATATGCTTACTACACTTGTTTTTACGTTACTCGCTTACTGAAGTGCGTTGTGACCAATCGCCTGCATTTTTGTTACCAGAAAGATGTTATGTAAATGAGAAAATGATTGACGAGTCTGAGTAAAACTGAAAATGGTCGATAGCGAATACTGAAACTGTTAGTAACACTTTCGTACAAACTCATATGCCTTAGCACATTGCCGTTTTTCGGCCATATGGCCCATGGAGTAAGGGGAACTGAACGCAACAACTTGTCACAAACCGTTACACACTAATTATGTACACAAATATGCGACCGAAATCGTCCCACCGGTTTCACGGATCGCTTGCTCTGTACACGGTAAAATCGGAAGGCCAAAGCTTGCTAAAGATGACAAGTAGTAAGTTATCAATCATTGACTCTCCGTTTCGGTTGGCACAACAACGTTGGTAAGACTCCTCGACTTTGTTTTAACCTGTACCCTGGGGCTGATGGGGGCGGTGTACTTTTCTTATAAAGGGAGAGATTCGAATACATTTCGGAGGTCACTTAACAAGAGGCAGGGACCAGCTCTTTCCAAGGACCTGTTTATGGACAGAACAATCCATTTCATCCATTAAATTGTTTCTTTGAATGGTATGTGCTTGTGGTAGGCCTCCGGAGATAAACAGTTCCATCACATATGTAAGTAATCTCTGAGGACTCCAACTAAGTAGCGACTTCCGTCTATATTTTACGAGTTTATTTGCTTTTCATGAATTTATCTTTTTCTCTATTCACCATTAGCCGTTTTTGGTGATCCTGTCGCAGCTTAATCCATTGCATAGCTTCTACGGACGTCAAATGTTTCATCGCCTGGTTTTTTTTGTTCTTAACATATCGTCACCATCATCAGTATACGTTAGCTAAGGGTAATAAACACACTTCAGCAAATGTGCCGCAACGCAAACACGATGAGATATATGAAGAACGCGATGCAAACGATTTTACAATACAATATAAAACCAAAGACGTAATATGCTGCTTAGTGTCATATTAATCATCATGTACGAGAACGTGATTGCAGAGGGGAAGTAAGCAGGAGAGACAGGGACGAAGAAACTCAAAACAAATGTCATTGGGGTCAGCTTTTCACCATATCAATCAGTGTAACCAACCAAACGCGTTCATCGTCGTCCGGATCCCAGCCAGGCACCAAGCTCGTTACTTACAAGTGCTTGCGGGTTTCGCTATTCTTTCCTCCCGTAACGATCCTGCGCGTTCTGCTTTTGTTTACATCGGCCGACGTCTAGTTTGGTGTTAGATCGTCATTGGAGTTCCGAAAGACATTTCTCGCATTCTAATTTTATTGTTTGTCTTATATTTTAGATCACGTGTTTCCCAAATGTTGGAGAGAGGATGGTATTTCAACCAAATCAAAGGCACCTGCGAGGAAGTCAACGATGGTACACAGCTTGCTAATATCATCCTGGTTGTAATTTCTTGCAGCTGATATAATCTCCTGTGTGGAATACGATAAATCTGGGGAATTCTTAGCCACTGGGGACCGGGGCGGTCGAATTGTCATTTTTCAGCAAGATCCTGAGGTTTGTCATCCACGTGTTTTCATCCTGCATCATCAATTAGCACGTTGAGATCAACTGCGTTTCTTCTGGCGCTACGTACTGGGTGTTCGCACCCTGTGTGTTTTGCACTACCCACCGTAGCTCAATAGTTGTTCGGTGAACCTACGTCTATCCATATTCATGGTCCCACTTCAGACTTGTCCGTCTAAATTTTCTAGCCATCGGGTATTTGCTTGTTGTTGTTAATCGCCAGGCTAGAGGAAATGCACTTTTCTTTCGCTGCCACCAATTGAAGTCCATATTTTTCGGTACACTACCTTTCTCCGTAACATCCCGTTCACCACTATCTTTCGTAAATCATTCCCGGAGTCGGACCTTTCGTTTCATGCTTGCGTTCTTTGTTGCCAAGGATAAGATGAACACCTGAGTGTCTGTTGTTGTATGTTTGATTGGGTCGTTTGGGAGGTATTTATTAGGCCGCACTGGACAGACGCAGTTGATGGTACCAAGTTGCGCAGTGACACGTTGTCTTCTTTTCTATCCGGGAATCGAATGTGAGCACACTGCTGATTAGCCGTAGCCCCAATGATCGCAAGCATGTTTTGTAACCTGAGGAAGCCGGTTCGAGCCTGCCCAGGGATCGGACGACCCTCACAGTATCCTTAGCCCGCGTGCTACTGGTGATGGTTGCGCTGCACCGAAGCTTCAACACTGCGTACCGGCGTACTGCTGACACTTTTCCTTGTATGTTGTTGATTGCAATCCAGTAGCTCAGCCATGTCTACTAACGACTCGTAGTCTAAAGCTATCGCATAACGACTAAGCAAGACGGCGTGAAAGAAGTTGATACGCTTAGCGACTAGTCAACAGCACATACAGGATTTCTTGTGAGGGAGACCGACACACTATGCAGCCAGTCAGGGACGCAGACTATGATGGAAGTCGATACGCTTAGTCGCCAGCCACCAGCACAGACCGTCTGCGTGACGAACAATCAAACGGAGGATCGAGCACTTTGTATGGCGGTTACTACACTAGACGACCAATCAAAGGCACAGGACCGCTGTTTAGGCTGGCGAAGGCACATGTCAGACACCAAGTCAGTCAGCATCGCCGGGAGTCAAAATGAGAGCGCCCGCATTAATGCCACAGACCGCAAATTGCCTGCCGAAGGACATAGGATAACTGATACACGAACACGGAAAAACGGCTCGCAGAGCCAATCAACATCGTCGTTGCGAACGGGTTGCGGTTGGATGAACGACAGAATCTGGAAATGCGAACCAATGAATGCAAACACATAGCCAGCGCGGAAGCCAGTAAAGACGCGACACAGAAAATAGTAATATGTAGTGTAAAAAGCATGGTTCAGCAATACAGATTTTCGTGTTATTGCAGTCTTCGTTCTGCTTAACGGAGGGCCGCTCGTTTTACAGACAGGTTCTTTTGCACTCGACCAACTCGGTATTGTTTTGTGGATACAAGAGAAAACTCTCCCAACTAGTTGCCTTTGTGATGATGCAGAGATTGGAACGGGTGGAGTGTAGAGCGACCAACAATTGACTTTCCAACTGGATTATTGCTAGACCCCTGGGTCTAAGTGAAACAGTCATTGGTCTCCGGATGACACTACTAACCCGCTCCAGGTGTCCATTATCTTGTGGTTGCGATGCTTTTGTGTTAGAAAATGTCGTACTTTTTGTGACATGAATCAGGCAACGTCATCGTAATGCAAATAGATCGACATGCTGAGGACGGCAACGAGTTGGGTGAAACAATAAATCACGACTGCAGTTCTCGTGTCACTATGCAGCAATAAACAGAATTGAGAGTATTCAGCAACAATAGTGAACAATTATATAGTGTTTATCGCTGAGGCTAAATGGCCGTTTAAAGCTATATTTAGTCTTCTAAATGGATATCGCTTCGGTGAGTGTTCCAGACGATTTGTAGAATCGGGCTTTCATCTCAGTGCAAATGCTGCGGCTAGCGTTCATTATATTCATCCCTTCGATTGAGAAAAACAAATTCCGTGAGCGAACCAGCTGAAGCACTCTAATGACTCCGAGATGGCACAGGATATCATATAATTCCTGAGGTGGTTGGTTTTTGTTGAGTGTGTGTGGTTTTGTTGAGTATACCACATGTGCTCGATAAACCGGCTGCAGCCACATTATCTCTTTCGCTTCGATAAACTGGCGGAGCTTTTGTGTCCGAAGCGAAACATTGTCCAACAAATACACTAATCGTTCGTTCTCAAACCTTTATGAACTCCTAACTTCTCATCGGTTCCAAGTATATTACACGATTTTGAAACCGTCTTTCTTCTAACGTAAGAATTGCACGTGCCAACCTTATTTTAGGATTGTTGATCTGGCGTTTCTGATCGAGGTTAAACCTGCGTGAAACAAGTCGTTACTCTGTATTGATAATGAAGCGTTTGCCTACTGGGTAGTGCCGCTATTCGCGGACTCACTGAATGAATGTGTCCCCTCGACAGCAGAGTAGATCCTTTACTCGCAGATTGCGTTCGTTAGAAGAAGGCAATCTGTTCTGGGTTGCTGTAGCGGTAATAGCAAAATTCGACGAATCCTTTTCAGCGACTAAGCATATGGAGTCATCAATCGAGACGACCGCAGAACCAAATTGGTGATAGCGAAGCGGCGATCGTCTGTTAGCAATCGGATTTTGTCAGATAAGTGTGATATCCGTTGGGAATAATATGTACAAAGTCCCACAACACGTCGGAATTTATGCTCCTTTGGTGTGGGTAGAAACCTCACAGCTTCAAGTAGGTCTGGGTTTAGTCGACTAACGTGTGAGAATTGGTACCTCGAATGAATGATGCTTTTACTTTCGTTGAAGGTTGGGCTGTACTTTTTAGAGAATTCGTAAAGCTTACAAGTATGCTCTTCCTCGGTTGTGCCGCACACCATGTTTGTGTAAGCGAATGCAGCGTTCGAATTCTCATGGGTATTCGCTTTTGGAATATATGCGACTCTATTGGTTACACCGAAAATTTTACGGCAGAATTGGGAGTGATTTCCGCATCTCCTCTCGTCTGCCTGATTATATTCACTCCATGTTTAGAGTGCTAAACACCGAGTAACGGGAAATTTTGTCCATAAAGGTACCGAGTCTACACAGGGGCTTGGCATTGTATTTGTGTCCTGATAGTTTGCTTGTACTGAGCAACCATATAACGTTTGTTCTCTGTTAACTAAATCATTTTCATTCTCGCTAGAACGAAGCACGCTTAGATAGGCGTAGTTATGAAAACGTGAGTTGGCCACGGGGATATCGATGGCTCATTGGTTCCGTTCTTAAGATGCTTCTGTATTTCTGACTGAGTGAACACTTCGTCCGCACTAGTGACGTCTTGCTTTTGAGATGATCGGTTTGTAAGTGGAAGCATCGTTCCCAAACAGAGCGTGATAATCAATATCCGCGGCAAATTGTGCACATACGGAAACAGGAAGCTTTTCATTGGAGAATTGAGTTTCCACAAATTGGTAAAGCTTGCGAAAATCGTGTCCTAGTAGTACTTCTGAACACATATTTAAGAGTAAGGACAATCTAATACCGGTCTGTTGACGATCTTTATACTGCAGTAACAAGACAGTGACCACTAGTGAAACCTGTCAAGTGGGTGCTTTTGCAGCGAGAACCGCGGTCATTCCACTTGAACCGTCTACCAACCGATATGTCAGTGTGGCTCTCAGAGATTCCGGTATCAAACAGCGCTGTTAAAGGAACGTTGTTTATGAGAACGTCGATGGCGGCGTTCGAGAGGTAGTTTGCTACCGTTGCGACTATGCTAAAGGTTAGACAATTTTGGAGCGCCGGAACAGTGTTTTTATGTAAGTAACAGCGGACCTTCTGATAGTGTCATTTCTTTCCTCATTGGTTACGATTATGATCGCGCGCAAGGCATTGAGATCAGCTCTCTTAAAGCCGCAGAAGTGTCTGCTGTGCGATACATCAGCGCTGACCTTTTTACCGGGGACTAGTGAGCTGTTTGATGTTTGCAAAAGTTCCGATTGATGTGTGGTACACGCTACAAATGCGTTTTCTGTTTATTAGAACTGTGACTTGCGGTGGGCCATTTCGACGGATTGCAACTGTTCAAAAACGGCCTACAGATCAAGTGACGCATTTTCAACAAATCAGCTTGAGCTTGAAGCTAAATTATAAAAACGTCTTCAATGATGTCTTCACGATTCTCATCCACCGTTACAACCCTGCGCCTGTGACTTCAACATCCGCATGAATTTGTCCAGAGTTTCCTCCACTTGTTGCTTACTACTAACTAGCACATGGCGTGCACTGATCCCTTTTTCACCTTGATTTATACTTTTCTGAGAGTTTCGATAACAAGTTCATAGGTTGTGCACTGTTTAATGTAATCGTATACATCAAAGGACACGTATTTCGCCTGAATCCTCAACTTACTGAACGGTAGGGACTCGACAGTGTCCACACTATAGGTAAACGTATTAGATCAATGAGTTGATGCGTTGTCTATTTAGTTCAGAGTTGCTAGGATAACTTTACGATAGGCGTGGCCGAGTTAAAAGTAACTTCGAGGCTACGGATGCAGATGCATAAAATAGCGGTGCTTAGTTTGTCCTTATCGGGTCCCTTTGTTTGCATGAAATCCACATGGTACATGTATCCGAGCAGCAAATGTAAGATGAAAAATGTGCATAAGGATGGTTTGGATTGATTCAGTCAGCAGTTGCTTTCCAGTTCACATTTTGTTATGAGTGAAAGGTGGGCGTGGCTGAATGAACGGCATATGCAGAGTGGAGCCGCAAATATGTGCAGCTCGGTACTGTTGTTCGACACATCTACAGCTCGGATTTTTTCTGTGTTGTTGCGAGGTTTACGTACCCGAGTAAAATAGTTGGAAGAACTAGCCGAAGAAGAGTGAAAAGAACCCTGTCAACTTTCTATTTTCATATTTTAAATGCACTTTTGCTTGGTGGCACATATTTATTCTCGCACATGTTTCCACAAAGTGTGTAAGCACACCTCCTAACTTTAGGTTATCACCTCGAGTAAAATTATTCAAGCGAACGTCAATTCACCTTGCTGCCTTGTTTATCAGGCTGCTATGCCGAATCGCATAAGCGAATCACTGAACGTTTTATTGTTGATGCACATCTCAATAATAGTTTTCCGTTACTACAAATGTTTGACGACCGCAACCCTTGTGCCAGAAGTATTGCTTTCCGACGCAGCAGCTGACCTCGTACCGGCTGGCACCCACTTTACGATTCAGTATCCTCGACCAACTATAACCATGATATCACTAGTTGCATATGGCGTATGTGATTGTGAGATAGTTGATCAATCTGAAATACCTACCTAAATTCCGACCATGTCTGTGCTCGTTCTCATGAGGCTCCTTCTCCATGACACCGTGGTTACCTATTCGTTTGTGGAGCCAACGGTATGTTTACCAGCACTATTTTATCCATTTGGAACGTCACTTGTCACAGAGAATGGAGGAAATCGAACCTTATGTAGGTCTCGATGACCTCCGCAACTCAATGAGAAAGGCATTGAAAGACACCTATCGTCAGTGTCGCGGAAGCGAAATGCGGTGGGAGTTCAGCTGTGTCACATAGTTCGGTTGGAGCGCAGTAGATTGCCCCATTAGATACTCTGCTCTGAGGTAAGAGCAATTGCATAACAGCCGCACTTTCCATTGATGCTTCGATGCCATGCAGCCACAAGCGGTTGTGGGTACATAGGGTGTCAAGGCATCATGACATAGGATGAGAAAAACATGTGGGAGAGCACAGGTAGGAAATCGGATGCTGCATGCGCCGCTGCTGCACAAATCCCTCTGTAATATTGTGAAATGACGTCTGAGTAGGGACCTCCGCGTTGGTGGGTGGTTAAAGCGCGTGGACTGGAGAAGATCATGATTATTACTAACAGCCAACTAATTCTCTACATTATCCGGATCGCCAGTCGTAGGAGGCATCATTGAGTGCAATAATTGTTATGTGATTATACATTTGATTTATTCTCAGATCCGTGGATTGGACGCCCAATGCAGGCTTCTGAAGAGCATCTCAACAGGTGTGCTGTGTGTTCATCGTTTTTATATCAATGGAACTCATCTGTATTGTTGATGTCTAACTTCATACCGTCGAAGTGCATCTGTAGGCAGTTGTCAACCTTTGGCCAACTTTTACAAGGTGTCAGTCTTGCACTCCAGATGCCACTGGCTCGAATCTGCATGGGTGCGGGCAACTCCGTGATATCCCTAACCCACACACGACTGGTGGTCGCGTGGCAGCGAATCGTAAGTACGGCGTACTGCGAACTTGCAACACAGACAGCTCTCTTCTTATTTTCTTACCAGCCTTTAACTTGTTGATACCCTTTATGTGCCATCTCTTTCCCTGTCAACTTTCCGATTTACTTTTTTCACTTCTTCCCAGCAACGAAACCAATTACGAGTCAATCATAATGTCTATTGCACATTCGTTAGTCATGAACCCGAGTTCGATTACCTGAAGTCACTGGAAATCGAGGAGAAAATAAACAAAATCCGATGGCTTCCCAGAACAAACCACGCTCGATTTTTGCTCTCCACTAATGGTCAGTCTTCACTATTTTCCAATGCATTTGAGGGCCTACTGTTTAAGTCTTTTCATCTCTTCCTAAACCCACGCCGTCACTTACATAGTACATGACAACCGATTTATCTGGGGACAACCCGTATGGCTTCAATTTACTCCCTGTTTGAACCCTCGTACCACCTCACTTTACACCGTATTAACTCGTGGAAGCATATTTTTCACCCACATTTTTTTCACTCATGGCATCCACTTACCTTGCTTTCTTACCTAGCCGATTGCCAAGCCTCAGGGACACCGTTGTTTTATCCTCTAAACCTTAGCATACTTCGTCGACCTGATTCTCTAGTCCGTCTCCACACAGTCATGTTTGACAGCTGTGAGGCTTTACATCACCTTCGCCGCATATGTTTAAGCCGCATCGATTGCACTCCGCTCTCTCACAAGTGGTGATTGTATGCACGCCCTGTGCTGTCTCACTGGCTGCCTTGTGTATTCGCGCCGAACTCTCGGTGGTGTTTACTGATTTACATTTCCGTACTCTTGAGCATTCGTTCGACTTGAGCCAGAGCCGCAGCTCACCTGTGCACACTTTTGTATCATCCGCCCGCACTGCCTTGCGGCCAAATTGTCCCACCTCCACTTGCCATCGGCTTATCATCCTTGCTCTCTCGGATGCGAATGCTTCCGCTTTCTTATCGTACCAATTGTGTTGCACCCTTGTTCGTTAGTTCACTCAAAAGACCCTCACTATGGCTAACCGTGATCGCTCAGTAATGTTATCCAGTCGATTCTCTGGCTTGATTTCAACTGTGGAGTGTTTGCCTCTCGATTAGTTGTCTTGACATCCTTTGAATGACACTGGACGCGTCATTGAAGTTGCTGTAACAATAAGTTGGGTTGTTTCTGCTATGGCCATCAGCTTATTGGTGGAAAAAAGCAGACGGTTTGGGTTCTCTGGTATTAGAGTTTTTACCAAGCGACTCTAAGTGTCGATTAGCAACTTAGAGATCACCAACTAATCAGTCTATGAAGCAGAGAACTCCCATGGCTCGCCGATTCAGTTGCCCATTCTCAACATTTTAGCAGATAAACTGAATGACATTGGCGAATGTTTTCGGTTGTTAGACTACTAACAGATTGGACAGTCGGTCACTGTCTTTGGGTCTCCTGAGCAGTCGATGATTAGGCTTTGTTGCTTGATACAAGTGTCCACTACAGGCAGTGGTCAGATGGGTGTTTTTGCGAAGGAACGACGAACCAATGTTACAATTCCTAATCCTCGCCTTTCATCAGACACATTACCGATATTCACAAGATCAAACCTCAGTTTTATGTAACCGACTGACAGTTGAATCATTTGTGGAGCCATTGTTTTGTGTTTCAAGGCCTATTACATGTGTTCTTGTTCTCTTCGAAACCAATCTCAGGTCACAGTCTTCGCATAAGTATACACAACTTCGTCGCTTCCGTTTGATGTATCCTTGTGATTCCATTTAATCTGACGGATCACCCTACCCTTACTGGGTTGACTCCATTCCACTGAGTTTCGCGTGGACCTCCGATCGAAGTACTTCCGTTAAACCTCGCTGCTTTTATTGTTTACCAGAACACTTCGTATCGTAGGTTTATTTCCCCAGAAACCCCTTTTTTCGATTCGAAATGTGCATGTTTACTTTTCATTACGTGTGACTGTGCGTATCTCTGCTTACTAGACAAAACAATAAAGCTATGGCGCATAGTGGAACGTCACAAACGTGCAATGGGCTACAACCTAACCAACGACCATAATAATATGGATGCATATTCCGACAAGTCTTTCGACGATCAGCAGCACTCCAACACCCCAATTCCCCGTTTCTGGCATCCCGCGGACCTTCGCGTTCCCCATTTCGAAGAGACGGAACCCACCGTTGAGGCCATCCCTCGGCGAGTGTTTGCCAACGCTCACGCCTACCTGATCAATTCTTTATCCGTGAATTCCGATCAGGAGACCTTTTTGTCCGCTGACGACCTCCGGATCAATCTGTGGAATCTGCAGATTACCGATCAGTCTTTTAGTATCCTTTTTATGGTAACCACTGTCGAGCCATGTAAAGCGACCCACACCGCTGTACTTATTCACAGCGAGTTTAAGCTTGATCTAAATAGTGGGATTTTTCACACTTGCATGCGTTACTTCCATTTTAGTTTGGTTCTTATATCGAAAACAATTGAGGGACCTCGCAATACCCAATAATCCGTGAAAACGAAAACTAGTCGTCTTTTCGCATGAGGGATTTAGCACAAATTGAAAACCATTTTCAGAGGGGCAAGGTCGCATCATTTTAGGCCAGGCAGCTGTTTAACGCCTGTCGCACTGGTGGTTGCTGTAGTTAGCTTTCCTGGAATGACTTAATTGCATTTATATTAAAAAAGTGTTTTTCTATACATTGTTTTTGGGCAGTTATGTACATTCCTGTTCATATTTCGGAAGGTGGTTTAATAATTCTTTCCACCGGGAGACAGTTCCTTATCATCGTAGGTTGTTCTGCTGAATCCGTCACTATCTAGCGTCTCTTGCCAAGCCGGTTGGCTATGATCAAAGCTATCGGTGGTGGGGCAAGTAAAACGCCGATTCCAGTGTGCGTTCTTGGCTTTCCAGCTCAGCAGCAGAATGGTGGATTAGCTTGAATGAAGCATGGTGTCCCAAAAGCGGTTGGTACGAGAAACAAACGGCCAGACGGCCACGCTTATTAATACTGAATATTCCTTTCCTCATTATATCTTTACTTTGCAACATGCATGTTATGGTGCTCTAAAACTGGGCTCTTCCGGATAGAATGATGACTGAGAAATCAGGATAATGCACGCGCCGCTTCAGTACACGGTAACGCACCGATGAAGTCGACAGGTGACGTAACGTCTGCTACCAAATTACCAGGCTCATCGAACAGTTAGGCTACTAACTGAACATCTCACGAAACTTTTATATCAGGCACTTGCCATTGCTCGAATGAATCGGAGTTCGTCGAAATGGACACGGCTGAGTCGAAGTGAATATAAGATCGAGACCCAACTTTCAGTTCCATCTCATGTTAACTTGAATGTTTGAGTTACATAGCAGAAGGAATTAGTAATCGGTAAAGTAACTGAAGATAGGGCTAAGAACTCAGTATTTTTAAGTTGTAACTATCGTTCTTTTCAACTCTTATCCCATCTGTCTTTAGATCGCTTTCGCAGTTACGAACTGAGCAAGACAGGTGCCTAAGTTGCCCTTCAGAAACACTGGAGTCAACGTCGTTGCTTTATCTCCATTCGTCATTCAACCAGGCTTATCAATAAAACATAGTCGTCAGCATCATCATCATTGCCCGTTGGCTGAGGTTGTGGAACACACTTCATCTAATGCGCCCCAATACAAATAGAGAAGATATGCAGTAAAACCTCCGTAAGTTGACCCCTCAAGGGATTGGACCAAAGTGGTCACAACATACAGGGGACTAGATCCATAAGGTTTTACGTGATGATCGGTCAAGCAGTGAAAAAATCGGTTAATTTAGAGAAGTGATCAGAATATAGAAGTGGTCAATTTTGGAGGTTTTACTGTGTATCCGAAAAGCGCGATGGGAAACACTACAGCATACAATCTAAAAACCAAAAAGAATCGTATGATGCTTAGTATCACATTGTGCATCAGGTGTGAGATCGTGGTTGAAGCGAGAAGGGACAGATAAATTAAACACAAACGCCATCGAGGTTGGCTCTCCACCATGTCAGCAAGTGTATTCGGCCAAACACGTTTATCGTCCTTCGGATCCCAGCCCGGCAGTCAGGAGGCACCAAGTGATACCAAATTCGAAGTGAGTGTCTTCATTCCTCTTGACCAAGTCATTACCTAGCCTCTCTTCCTTTTCTTCCATCCTTATCCCGGTCGCACAAACAACGCATGTCGCAGGAGTCGGTTGGCTGGCATGCGCTATACTTGACCCGGTCATCGGAGCCTGTTGCGTGATATAATGGTGCTGAGCAGTTCACTCGCTTTCAACAAAAACATAGTGTTTGCATCGTACCTTTTACCTTTCATCATCGCATCGCGATGTGAATTAGGTTGATGAGACCGTCTGACATTGGTTGTCTGAGCACCACTGCAGTCTGTGTCTCCCGATCTCGCGCTGTGTCCAGATGACTACACTGAAAGTAAGTAATCATACATACTCTGTCCTCTGCGTTCGATTGGGCGCCATTGCTGATGACATCACTTTGTCCGGTGATGATTCACAGAGTGTACAGCTCATTTTGAACCGTTTGGCGATTGAAGCGTCTTAATATGGCATGTGCTTCTCCTCCTTGAAGTGTAGAGTGCTGCTCCAGGACTGTAAGTCGTCTGCCCCCTCATTGAAAGAACACAACTAGAGGTTGTGGACAACTGTCTACCTCAGAAGCTGTATTTCTGCTGATGGCACTATTGCGAAAGAGGTGTCTCATTGCATCGTCAGTGCTCGGTCGGCATTTACAAACCTCAGTCATCTGTGGCGTCGTCAGGACATATCCTTAAAGCGGTCTTGCTGTACGGAACTGAGCTCTGGCCGATTCGGGTGTGTGACATGCGTAAGTTTTCGACCTTCGACAATACATGTTTACGGCAGATAGCCTGTGGGTGGCGGCAACACCGGGTTCACAACGATCATGTCCGGTGTCGCGTCTTGGGAAACATGAGCCTTCCGCTTAATCGCCTTATCGCATTTCGTCAATTGAGGTGGCTTGGCCACGTTCTACGTATGTCATGCGAGCGCTTACCACGCCGCACATTATTTGGCCACACGGGGTTGAATTAGAAGGGAACGTGTGGTGATCAGACAACCACTTGTCTCGCAACCGTCGGCCCAGTAGGTCTTCCTGATTGGGGCCCCAAGGACTGCAAACAGCTCGACACACTTGGAGATATGACACGAAACCCGAATTAATGGGGCTATATATTGAAATGTTTTGAACAATATGATTAGAGCTATACCATTCAAAATACCGAAAAACGAACAAAATGGCCTGTGAACAAAAACCGACAGTTGTACTTCTTATATTTTGTTCCTAATAGTTTTTCATTGGCTCAGTGTTTCTTTCTAGGCTGCTTCTGCCGCTGCACATATCTGTATATATATATATATATATATATATATATATATATATATATATATATATATATATATATATATGGTTGGCGGCATCCGGTTTCGGATTTGCCTGCCACTGTAGCCAGCCACAGGACGCCTGCGCCTACAGAGGGACCATGGATGGCTTGCGCTGCATCGTCCACACCTCCATCCACACACCCCATATCCAGTGTAAACCCGAAGGAATAACGCCGGGAGGCATGCGGGTGGGAGCCACGTTTCATCAACGGAGCCGGCCCACACTACTTCACAGGCAAACACAAGCACGCTGTATTAGGGGAATCAAGCGCACACAAGGCGGTGGTTGGACCGTAGTCCGCTCCACACTAAGTGCGTGAAACCATTCTTCTAGCCTCTCACGGCCACAAAGACCGTGCACCTCGTCCTCCCCAGCAACGACCAACTGTCTACTGGATCCAGTATGGACGAGGTAGTGGGTAATAGACAGGTAGGCACCTTGTCAACATGCACATCAAGCGCAGTCACATGGGGGATATCAAGCAACTGCCAGTCACTGGAAATAACATTTTCAAATACAATAAATCGAATAATGCATACAGATACGGTGACATTACTCTTCAATGAATGAGCATATGAAATAATTTGGTTGCGGAAATATTCGTTCTATGTTCAAGACGTCAGAAAATATATTTTAAGAAAATGTCACAAGCACGAAAATGTTATCGAAGTTAACTACAGTTAACTTGAGCGACTTCTGGAAGTTAGTAGAAGATAGTTCACATAAGCAATAACGAAACAATAAGCAAACCGACTAGCTGAGATACAGATACCCAGCATGCAAGCACGCGGTTAGTAAATCGAATGCAGCGTACCTACAAACGCTGCGCCGGTTCTGCTTACGTTCTCTGCAGGACCCGTCGTTGTTTCGGTGGTGGCCCCGAGCGGCCTCGCTCATGGCTCACTAGGCCTGCCTGACTCAGGCACTCGCGACCGCATGTGCTACAGCACCATGCGTTCGATGTCGATGGAGTACAACCCATCGGCGCCAGGCACTTCTCCGCATGCACGAGGGTTTTCTCCTGCAACTCAGCAACTGCTTTCGTGGTTAGATCGCGCCATGCACGCCGATCAGCCGCCTTCGATTCCCATGACCTGCAATCCAGATTAGAACATGAAAGGTTCACTTTGATCATGTCTTCGTAACGAAGCTTCGGTTTCCCCACTTGCCGCTTTCCAATACTCAGCTGACCGTATAAGAGTTATTTCGGTATCCGCGTCGTATCCATACGGCTCACATGACTGAGCCACCTCAAGTGTCTCAGCAAAAGTATGCAGTCCACTGCATACCTTCCACTTCGACGAAACACTTCCGCGTCTCCAACTCTGTCGCATCAACCGATGCGCATAATCCGCCGCAAACACTGTTGATGGAACGGCTCGAGATATCGCACATCCCGCCGGTACATCGTCCACGTTTCACTGCCGTATGGAAGAACGGAAAGCACCATTGATTTGTACACCATCAGCTTCGTGCCAATGGTAAGCTGATGGTTGTTCCACACTCGGTACTCTAGCTTCCCGAATGCCGCCGCTGCGTTTGAGACGCGGATGCGCAGCTCATTGTGTAGCTGCTGATCAGTCGGCATGATCCTCCTAAGTTAGCAGAAGCGGGAGGTGGTATGTAGTACTTCAGCACCAATACTGATTTTCAGTAATGTTAAAGATTGCACCTCTGATGAAGGCTGCAAGGGGCAGACAGTTTTACTTGTGTTGATGGTGAGCCCGAATTTGGCCGCTGTCGAAGCCAGAGCATTAGTCATGTGCTGCAACTCATCCGTGCTGTGTGCAAACAACGCACAGTCGTCAGCAACATACAGATAGTTGTCTCACAGACTAGAGTTCTCAGACCGAAATGATGGATGTTCAGCAACCCACCATCAATACGGTGCTCCATACGAACACCTTAAGCACAAGAGGCAACATAAGCACAAGACATCATTGCATGAAGATAAATATTAAACAGCTCAGGAGCTAAGGCACAGCCTTGCTTCACACCAGTGACAACTGCAAAGTTATCCGAGGTCTCTCCAATCAGATGCACTTTCGCCCACATACCAGTGTGCAGACATTCAATTAAATTTGCGAACTTACTCGGACAACCACACCTACCCAACACCAGCCACAATGCCTTGACGAAATCAGAAAAAACTGAGCAGAACGGCTGGCGTCGTTCTCTGCACTTCTACTGTAACTGACGAGCCGCAAAGACCATATCTATAGTGCTGCAAACCGAACGGAATCCGCATTGCTCTTCCGCCAAGTTAGGTTCCACAACCTGACAAGGTGGTTAAGAAGTATTCAGGCAGTCACCTTGCCCACACAACTCAGCAAGTTGATGCCACAATAATTCGTGCAACATTGCTTGCTCCCTTTGCCCTTGTACAATGGTGGCACAAGGGCATCAGTCAGCTCAGCAGCCACCTCCTCCTCCATCCATACGCGTTGCACCAAGTGGTGGAGTACAGTCACCAACGCGGGTCCGCCGTGTTTCAATACTTCAGGCGTGATCCCGTCGGTACCGGTACACTTGCCGTTTCGCAGCTGAGCAAGTATTCTCTGCGTCTCATCCAGTGTCGGCGTGTCCGCCCGACTCGCCTTCACATCATGCTGCTTCAGACCGTTCAAAGTTGAACGGCCCATCTTGGAGCGGTCGAAATATTTCCGCTAAATCTGCATTATGTCTGTAGTCTGTGCGCAGGTAGCGCTTGAGCTACCATCGATCAGCGTCCTCATCGGCTCCAGCCTCGGTGCATACACCGCCTTCAAGGAGTCAAAAAATTCCTTGTGTTGGCGGCGTTCGACGTAGCATTCCATCTGCTTCGCCTTCTCCGTCCACCATGCATTTTTTATGCGACTTTGCTCTCGGGTCAGTCTCCGTCGAAGTTTGCGAAACTGACTCTTCTTCCTCAAGTCACTGGGGTCTGCGATATGTGCAGCAAATGCTGCATTCTTCTCACACACCAATGCGCAAATCGTGGCATTGTTCTCATCAAACCAATCAGGCCACTTACAGTTTGCGCTCCATTGTCTCTTCGACAGCAGCTGTCAACTGGTCGCGAGTGTGGTTCCACAGTTCGCCCACTGTGGCTATGCATTCCACATCACACAGGCGTGCAGCCATTGCCTTCTCCAGCTTAATACGTTTCGCCACACTGTACGGCGGAAGAGAATGTTATGTTTACGTTGATTCATGGCGGGGTGCAATACATAGATTTACCAAAATGCATGTACAGTTTGGTACGCACCAAGTTGGGATCAGTGCCGCACTCGGCTCCACGCAGTACACGTGCCGTTCGCACTTCACGCTGACGTACGATGATGTAGTCGAGCAGGTGAGCGTGATCACTCCGTGGGTGCGTCCAAGTTGCCTTATCACTCGCACTCAGTGCAAACCGAGTGTTCGTGGTTATCAGACCGTGAGTGGCACACAGTAAGAGCAGCGTGCCACTATTCTCAATCGATGAACAATTGCCCTGAGGACCGATAACATCTGCCCACACCGATGCATCACGCCCAACACGCGCGTTAAAGTCACCCAGCAGAAATAGTTGGTTGCTCCTCGGCACAGACCGTATCACGTAGGATAGCTGAGTGTAGAATTGATCACGCATGTCATCGGGATAACACATGGTCGGACCGTACGTTGTTATAAAAGTGGCAAACTTACCTCTTTTGAGTCGTAGGCGAGCAGTCATCAGTCGCGCGCTGATGCCACCAGCTGGCCATAGAGGCGATCGGATATTGCAAATCCGACCCCATGTTCACGTGATGCTGAGACGGCGTTACCCACCCAGTGGAATGTGTAGCCAGCACCTGCTTCATGCAACACCTTGCTCAGCGAGCCGAGTCTCACTGAACGTCGGAATATCGATGTGATGGAGCACCAGTTTCATCGCGACCAGTGCAGTGCGTCGCTCGGGGCGTTCTTTCGAGTTCCGGTGCAGTAGTGTGCGCACTTTCCATCACCTGATGCTGAGTGCTTTGCGCGCAGGCATACGATTGCATTATTGGGCAATCGCATGCGAGGTGGTCGTTTTGCTTCGGAGGTTTGCTTGGGGACTCCATCCTGAGGCTTCGGCTCAAAAGCTTGGCCAACAAGGCAATGGTTTGTTTGGACTTTTACTTGAGGGACTCCACCCGGAGCGTTTGGCTCAATAACCTTACCCACAAGGCAGTGGGGAGCAGATCGAGCTCGGGAATGTGATCGCAGAGACAGATTGGATCTGCTTGAGGTCCGTCACACGCAGACTTTTAGGTACTTTTACGATTCGTATATGTTTTGCGACCGTAGTAGGTTACGCACCTGCGATCACGACCAGACGCCGGTAGGTTTTGACGGGTTTGCACCAATTTGACCAGGGGCGGGAAGTAGCAAACCATTGAGCATCCGGAGGTGCCCTCCCACCATCAGAGACAATGCGTGACGCTCGTGCTCTACGCCCATCTAGCTGTGATCTTATAACTCGTGGACCAGTTGTCTCCCATGGCTAGGTTTTATGAGAAGTGTGCCATCGACCACTTCCTAACCTCCGAAGAGGATGGACTAGGATACTGGCAGGGCGCCTATACTTGACAGGAGAACGGCTCGGTTCCTCAGCCAAAGCCTTCGACTAAATGTACACTAGAAAAGCATCGGGTCTAGCACATGGTCACTTCACTGACTCATGCGGATTGGTGTCCTGAATCTTAGCAGGGAGAAGGGCGTAACCCAACTCCTACCCAACGGTCGCCATGAGGATGTGCCTAAAACATGAGCCCATGGCACAACGGTAGCAGCAGTGGGATGAACATCTAGCTACCACCAGCCTAAGCGTAGCATGGGCTCTCTCGGCATATATATATATATATGTATATATATATATATATATATATATATATATATATATATATATATATTATATAGATATATATATAGTTCATCGGATGGGATCTGTGATCTGGATTCTATAGAACTTGTGGTCCTGTAGTTTGCTATAGACGTGCACTGGTTTGTAACTTCCTAAACCCATGAACCGGTAACTTGACGCCGATTGCTACCAGACACCTATTGACTTCTTCGAGCAGTCGAAATCCTTGCACCTGATAAGGCGGTTCAATGTGCTTACCAGTAAATAATAAAGCAATTTGTTCCCCTTCCACCAAATTTTGTATTTCTGCTTATTATGAACCTCATCCTACTCTGGTGAAACAGGAGTTGTTTGTCTTTCGTAGCTGCTTTGTAAGTGCCACGAGGACTCGTCTCACAATCTGCTTTACTTGCAGTCACGATCCCATAGGCGGTGATTCCAATTGCTCTCCGCTTTGTCTTGTTAACGTCACTGCATTTTCCATCCCACCCCCGCAGCGTGATTGGTGACGTACTTTGTCCTACTTAATGTTTCCCTTGTGGTGTTTCACTTAACACATTCGCACCCTAGATATTGTGGACATCAAGCCAGCGAACATGGAGGATTTGTCCGAAGTGATAACAGCCGCCCAGTTTCATCCTTCCGCCTGCTCCTGTTCATTTACAGTAGCAGCAAAGGCACCATCCGATTGTGCGACATGCGTCAACGAGCATTGTGTGACGAACACGCTCTGTGTAAGCTCATCGTTTTTCCCGTTCCACGCTTGTTTTGTCAGACACACCAGTAGAAACTGCACGTATGTCACTAGTTTCCCTAAAGGATGGACGATTGCCCACACGGCATACGACTGCGTGTGCTTCATACTATAATAGTTTCTTCGATACGTATCTATTTTATCCATTAATTGCGCCAACTTTATACAACTCCNNGAAGTGGCAACCACCGGCTTTTTGATATGGTTCCATGTACTCTTGGAAATGATAGTTTTTATCAGAGGTCGGGTCAAGCTGCAACCTGGAAGGAATCCCGTTTTTAAGCACGGTACTATAACGTCTACAGGGTTTGAACTCACTCTGGAAAGCTACAACGTCTGACAGGGAGTCTGCTACGGTATTGCTGACCTTCTTCTTGGACCCGGACGGTTTTGTGTTCACTGGTCGAGACACCGTGCCTCTTTTATGGCACTTTTGCAAATATGCTTCTTGAATAGATAGAACCGGGCGAAAGGCCGCTCACCGCATGAGCAATAGGCAGTAAGCGGTCTGTTTTGTGACTTCTGAGCGGAACTGTCAGGCCTGTTTCGCTTGGGATATACATATATATATATATACATATATATACATATATACATATATATATATTGTCCCAATTTTCAAGAAAGCGCTCTCACTTCATGTGCAAATCATCGCGGGATTAGTCTTATTTCGGTTGCCTCTAAGCTGTTGGCATCCATTCTACTTCGTAGACTATCCCCAGTACGTGAATCGTACTACCGTGAAGAACATGCTGGTTTCCGTCCTGGCCGCGGATGCGTGGATCAAATCTTCACGCTCCGCCAACTCCTTGAACATCGCCACATTTATCACAGGCCCACTATCGTTGCATTCCTAGACATACGTGCCGCTTTTGACTCTGTTGATCGACCTGCTTTATGGCGTTGCTTACTAAAGAACGGGGTGCCAGAGAAATATATCGCCATCTTACGAGCACTTTACCTTCACACATCCGGCAGAGTGAGGGTCTATGGCAAGCTTTCCTCGCAATTCACTGTCAATAGCGGTGTGCGACAGGGCTGCCCTATGTCCCCATTCCTCTTCAACTTCGCAATCGAAGACGTTCTGTCAAATGCCCTAGGTTTCCAACATTTTGGCCTAGAGCTTCTACCGGGTGAGCGCGCGACCGACTTAGATTATGCTGATGATATCGCCTTACTTGGTGACGATCCTCAGGGTATGCAACTCATTCTGGATCGTTTGGCGGTTGAAGCATCTAAGTATGGCATGAGCTTCGCCCCATCGAAGTGTAAATTACTGCTCAAGGATTGGCTTTCACCTGCACCCGTGCTCACTCTCCAAGGTGCACAACTTGAACAGGTAGATAGTTTCGTCTACCTTGGGAGCTGTGTTTCCGCTGACGGCACAATCAACAAAGAAGTTTCGCTTCGTATCGCTAAAGCTCGATCAGCATTTGTCAATCTGAGGCACTTGTGGCGTCGTCGCGACGTCTCATTCTCACTAAAAGGCCGAGTTTACAGCGCGTCCGTTCGCTCAGTATTGTTGTATGGGAGCGAGTCCTGGCCGATTCGCGTGGAAGACATGCGTCGTCTTTCTGCGTTCGATAACGGTTGCTTAAGGAGGATCGCTCGTGTTCGGTGGCAACATCGAGTTACCAGTACTGACGTTCGTCGTCGCGTCTTGGGGAATGCAAGTATTTCCTTCAACAAACTGGTTTTGTTGCGCCAGTTAAGATGGCTCGGTCATGTCCTACGCATGGCACCTGAGCGTCTACCGCGTCGCGCTCTATTCGCTCGTCAAGGACCTGGCTGGAAGCGACCGCGTGGTGGTCAGCCTTCCACTTGGCGGCAGCACATGAAATCGCTGACGTCGTGTCTAGCCGCTGTTGGACCCGTACGTCTTCCAGGATGGGGACCCAAAGATGAGGAGTGCCAATGGCTTAGGACACTTGAAGACATGGCCCGCAACCGGAATCAGTGGAAGAATTGTGTACAGTGTTGTGTTGATTCACATGTTTAATTCTACAAACATTGAAAATGACAAAAAAAGAGAAAAATCGGCGTGTGACAAACAAACTAAAAATGTTTTGTTCTGTATTTTTGTCAACATATTCCATTTTCTTGCGGCATATTAGCTGAAGTGTGTTGCCCACCTTCAGCTAGCATGCCACGACGATTATGACGTAATGACTGTCTCTTATACACTGATTTCCATGGCTTTCTTGGCTCTATGTCTAGTTACTAGACTGTTGAGATTACATACATACACAGTAAATCGAATGCAGCATACCTACAAACGCTGCGCCGGTTCCGCCTACGTTCTCTGCAGGACCCGTCGTCTCTTCGGTAGTGGTCCCGAGTGGCCTCGCTCATGGCTCGCTAGGCCTGCCTGACTCAGGCACTCGCGACCGCATGTGCTACAGCACCATGCACTCGATGTCGATGGAGTGGAATCCATCGGTGCTTGCCGCTTCTTCTCTGCACGCTGAAATCATTTATCCGCAGTTCGGCAACTGCCTTCGTGATTAGATCGCGCCATGCACGCCGATCAATCGCCTTCGATACCCATGACCTGCAATCAAGATTAGAATGTGAGAGGCTCACTGATCATGTCCTGGAAACGTAACTTCGGTTTCCCCACATGCCGCTTCCCAATACCCAGCTGGCCGTATAAGAGTTATTTCGGTATCCGCGTCGAATCCATACGGCTCACATGACCGAGCCACCTCACGTATCTCAGTAAAAGTATGCAGTGCACTGCATACATCCCACTTTGTCACAACACCTCCGTGTCAGCAACTCTGTCTCCCCAAGTGATGCGCATAATTCGTCGCAAACACTGTCGATGGAACCACTCGAGATATCGCACATTCCGCCGGTACATCGTTCACGTTTCACTGCCGTATAGAAGAACGTACAGCACCATGGATTTGTACGCCATCAGCTTCGTGCCATTGGTAAGCTGATGGTTGTTCCACACTCGGTACTCTAGCTTCCCGAATGCCGCCGCTGCCTTCGAGACGCGGATACGCAGCTCACTGTGTATCTGCTGATCAGTCGACATCACACTCCTAAGTTAGCAGAAGCGGGAGGTGGTATTTAATACTTCAACACCAATGCTGATTTTCAGTAATGTTGAAGATTGCACCTTTGGTGAAGGCTGAAAGAGACAGACAGTTTTACTTGTGTTGATGGTGAGCCCGAATTTTGCCGCTGTCGAAGCCAGAGCAGTAGTCGTGTGCTGCAACTCATCCGTGCTGTGTGCAAACAACGCACAGTCGTCAGCAACATACGGATAGTTGTCTCACAGACTAGAGTTCTCAGACCGAAATGATGGATGTTCAGCAACTCACCATCAATACGGTGCTCCATACCAACACCGTAAGCACAAGAGGCATCATAAGCACACTACACCATTGCATGAAGATAAATATTAAACAGCGCAGGAGCTAAGACACAGCCTTGCTTCACACTAGAGACAACTTCAAAGTTATCCGAGGTCTCTCCACTCAGTTGCATCCTCGCTCGCATACCACTGTGCAGACATTCAATTAAACTTGCGAACTTACGCGGGCAACCAAACTTACCCAACGACAGCCACAATGCGTCGCGGTTGACCGTATCAAATCATCATCAGCATCATTATACACGTTAGCTAGAGGTGGGAAAACACCTCCACTATTGTGCCGCAATACATGATGGAAATACATACATACATGGTTGGCGGCATCCGGTTTCGGATTTGCCTGTCACTGTGGCCAGCCACAGGACGCCTGCGCCTACAGAGGGACCATGGGTGGCTTGCGCTGCACCACCCACAGCTCCAACCACACACCCCATATCCAGTGTAAACCCGAAGGAATAAGACCGGGAGGCATGTGGATGGAGCCACGTTTCATCAACGGAGCCGGCCCACACTCCTTCACAGGCAAACACAAGCACGCTGTATTTGGGGAATTAAGCGCACACAATGCGGTGGCTGGACCGTAGTGCGCTCCACACTGAGTGCATGGAACCGCTCTTTGAGCCTAGCACGACCACAAGGACCGTGCACCCCGTCCCCTCCAGCAACGACCAACTGTCTCCTGGAGCCAGTGTGAACGAGGTAGTGGGTAATAGACAGGTAGGCACCTTTTCAACGTGCACATCAAGCGCAGCCACACGGGGGATATCAAGCAACAGCCATTCACTTTAAACGACAAGCTGAAATAAAACAAATTGAATAATGCATACAGATACGGTGGCATAACTCTTCCCTAAATTACCATATTAAGTAAGTTGGTTAGCAGCAAATCCGCGATAAGTAAGAAATGTCCACAAGTTACTTAAAATGCTACAAACGCAACAAAATTACCGAAGATAAGCGCAATTAGCGTAAGCAACGTGGCCAGTTAATAGAACATTATTCAGATAGGCAGAACAGACCAAATAAAGTGGAATGAAATGTATCCAGCTTAAGAAGGTCAAATTTAAGTGTGAGTTGGTTTAGCCCTGCTGCGGTGAAGAAGCATCAAGAATGCAACATCAGTCTCAGCATGGGACACAACATACATACATACATATAATACAATACACAAGGAAAAGATATCTACAACAGTTGCTTGCCAGCTGAGCTACCAGCAACGGGTAGGCATCGTTCCGGTAAGCTACTAGCCAGCTACTAGGCAAAAAGAAAAAAATATTGTTTTACCCTACGAAATGAGATCGTAGATGGAGGGGGAGGCTAAAAGGGATGGGGAGGGCCAAAGAAACTCACAGCATGAACGCCACTGAGGTCGGCTCCTTGCCATGTCAGCAAGTGTATCCAGCCAAACGTGTTCACCGTCTTTTGGACCCCAACCAGGGAGCCGTGACTGTCCAACCGAGGCTAGCTCCAAATTGAGGGACTTCATTCCCCTGGACGAAGTCATCGCTTGGCCACCTCTCCTCTTCTTCCACCCACATCCCCGGTGAGTAAACAACACACGTCGAGGGAGTCGGTGTGCTGGCATGCGTAACACGTGGCCGAGCCATCGGAGCCTGGTGCGGGAAATAACGGTGCTGAGCGGTTCAGA